ACAGGCTACATCCTGTGTCAGGGTTCCCTAAGAACACAGAGCTGAGAGGTAACGCTGGAATCATCTAAGTCCAGTAAATTTCCATTGTCATTCAATGTCACCGAGGCTGCACAGAAGTGCTGTATAATGCTCCATATTGGGGTTGAAAAAAACCAAAAACCCATGACTATCAACTGTTGGATACTAACCTGAAACCAGGTGGAGTGCTATCCACCTTCTACCTTGTAGCTAAGGTACTTGCTAAGATAGGGAAGACATCAGAAATCCAGATAATAGGTTTACTGATTCATGGAATTTAAACCCTGACCTCCAGCACAGAAAGGCAATAATAATCACCAAGCCACTGGCTAAACAGTGCTGAAAGTACTTTCTTCATGAAGCTAGACCCCTGGATAGCCAAAAAGGGACTGCCTCAAGGGAAGAGAAGAACAAACAAAAAGAAGCCTGAGACTGCATCAGGAAGGTGGATGCTGCTCTGGGACGGTTCTGGGTGAGTGAGTCCTTGCTTTCAATGATCCACCAGCTTGGAATTCCCTTCCATTGGAGCTGGAATAAATGCTCAGACTGCACTATGCAGGAAGTGCTCTCTAAAGTACTACTCTAGATAAGAAGCAGTGGAAGACATGACTCAGAAAACTTATCAAGATGAGAAGGAATGTGTGCTTGTTTTTGGTGAGGGAAAGAGAAAATCTGATAGAGGAATATTAGCAAACTTCAAGGTCTCTGATTTTCCCTTAGCAAAAGAAAAGCCTACATATGTACAGTAGTCATCCTTTTTCACTGTTTTCTCCCACATTTCACAAGACACTGGCTAACTCGCTTCATTGTGAAACCTCTCTTGATATCATGCAACTCTTCTGCACCTCTCCTCAGAAGTTATAATTTAGAGACACTCCCTTACTTAGAAAACTACAGAAGCTGGGAATTGCGATATGGTCCCTCAGTTAGGGGTGTTAGAGAGCGGCCAGGGATCAGCAGAGGTTGCCTACTACTCCACAATAAAATTCATTGTTTACTTCTTTGCAATTGCATATGCCTGTGTTTATTAAACACAGTAATTACTACAGGCATACTAAAGATTGGAGAGCCAATTGCTTTCAGATGATCCTGTGAAGAAAAAATTTCTTTTCAGTTGCACTGATAAATTCCATTGAGCCAGATCCTGCCTCTTTTACTAAAACATAAACTGGAATAGTGTTGTGGTTTTCATTGGCATTGTTTCCTATGTACATCAATGCACATGAAGAATTTTGGCATTAAAAAGTTATTGGGTAAAAAGGTATGAATAGCTGTGGGGGCAGGGGACAGTATCCAGGGATCCCTTGCCTAGTGTGAGCCTTGCTCCCTGAGCCATAGAGTTAGTTTAGCCTTCTTGCTTTCTGGCCCCATGACCTTTTCCTTCTTGGTTGGCCAGTGGGCCAGCTTTAAGAGAAGGAGGATGTGGGAGGTACTCCTATCTTCAATAGAAATTAGGACTTAGGACACTGAATCTACACCTCTGGTGTCCCAGCAAAGTTCTTGTGGCTGAAGGAGGGCAAGAAACCTAGGTTTTTAATGTCCTGGGTCAGTACCTTAACCTATTGGAAGAGGTACTCACATATATGTTTGTCTGACCGTGTCAGAAGTCCTGCTATGCCATGTATGCTTTCTGTGGCTATGGAGAAGTAGATGAAGGCACTTTAGGTCAGGTTAAAATCTTCTGTTGGTATGAACTGATAGCCACTTACCTCCTGTGTAACCAAGGATCTGTCTCTGGAGGTATTTAAAGCCCATGGGAATGACTTGGGAGAATTTTATGGTTCTGCTGGGCAAAGTAAAATACACCTCTGAAACTATACAAGCTATGCAGTAATTCCCCACTGAAAGTAGAGGAGAGCTGCATGTGTACACAGGGGAAGTGAAATGCCTCACTACTTTTGGTTGTGTAACCCAGGACTTTTTTGGCAACTATGCATTAGATGTTTAGTGGGTGAAATGCAATTTAGCCCAAAATATCTGGCTCTAAGCCAGCTTCTTGCAGGAACTGTAAACTTAGTGATGAAAATAGGTGGTGTCTTTGAAAGCCTTGGATGTGAGTAAAGCCTGAGGGCTCTCCCTTCCAGCTGGCTGGTACACTGGGAAGCAAACATCATAGCAATAGAATGCTCTACAAAAACTTATTTCCATTAAATATGATTAATAGAAAATCACAGGACTGGAAGGTATCTCAGGATATTATCTAATCCAACCTCCTGTTCAAAGCAGGATCATCCCTGTCTGAGTCACCCAGACAAATGTTTGTCTAACATTTACTTAAAAAAAAATCTCATAATGCAGATTCTATTATCTATATACCCAAGAAGTCTACAAAATCACCACTGCACAAACCTTATAAAAACTACAAGGCATGTATATAGAAAAAACAAGAATACTGTAGTTACTTAAATATAAGATGACCCTCCCCCCTTTAATTCTATTTATATATGGAAAAATTATTAATTTGTTCTATTTTTTTAGGCATACAATCTAAATATTGGAAGTTTGCCTTAAATTTATCCCCCTCACATGCTACAGCAGGGAAAATTAAATTGGGGGGGGGGGTCAGAACCCTCTTCCTTGCCCTCTGCCCACCCCACACCTTCTTTCCTTCTCACACCTTCCTCCCCTCCTTACTGTCAGACCCTGCTGTCCCTGAGCACATGGGAGTGAGGGGCAAATTTGAAAGCACTGACCTTTAAATAAACATAATTTACTATATAGAAAAATGACTATCCATTATTACCCGTAAAGTGAGTTCATCCATAATTGGATACATTTAACCTCTTTTGAAACTCCTACAAGATTTAATACAGGTATTCCATCAACACACTTTTAAGCAGCAGCACTTCTGTATCAACTTGTGGATACTACAAACTATGCATGATATTAGCCTAAAGTCAAAAGGCTCATAATTTACCATACAGTTCATTGGGGTGGCCCCTAGCAGAGTCAGCCACATTTCAAGTCATGGTGACCTCATAGTTTAGCACTGCTCAGTATGTGTGTACTCCAGATACCCTCTACAAAGGAACCATGTGCTAATTAACCCTCCCACTCCTAACTGGAACCAGGTATTCTTGTCATGAGTCCTGAGCTCCTCCAAAAATCTATGTGTAGATGAAGTGCAGGGGAACCTGGTTTGGCTACACCTCATGGAGGGTGGGGTCACATTAATCATATGCTGCAGGCTGAAACAGTGGTGACATAGAAGTTCTAGCTGAACTGTTTGAGGCCCAACTTAGTGCTGTTTACCAGACATTTAAGGCTGGTGAAGAAACAGGAATCACTAGAAATGGGAAAGAAAAGTGCAGCCCAGAAGTGTGAGTGAAGAGGAAGCCAAAGGGTACAAACAGCAGTACAGCTCCCAGCTGTAACACAAAATGTTTTCAGCAAGGTGTTCTGAGTTGCATTACTCCAGACCAAACAGAAGTTCATTGTTGGTTCCAGGTGGGAGGAGAATATAGCTGCTTGCCTGGGGGCCTGCAGCCAGGTTCCTGTAGAAATGGCCACAGCTCTCTGCCAGTGTTCGCTGTTTTCAGAATGGAAGAAGGGAAAGGCAGTTGAGGGAGCTTGTTCTTGGGGATCCCCAGATGGTGCTGAAAGGCAGGGTGGATAAATTGAAGTCCCCCCATCTTGGGGGGGGTGACACTCCAATACACCCACCCCACCCTCCAGAAGAGTGCTGAAACCCCCCCAGACTGAACTCCTTCTGCTCCCTTTCCCCCTTCCCATTCTGAAAACAGCAATAGCCTGAGAGGCAGTGCAGACACAAGTTACAGAACTTGTTACATTTTGAAATGTCTTTATTCAATACTTCATGCAAAGAAGGGTCACATTTTCACCTGATCGGCCATTTTTGAAGCTATCTGCAGCTATACACTTGTGTTTGGTCATGGCTATAGACTACTTTCTGTGGCCAGATCAGCTGAAAATTATCACTTCTCTCTGCATGCAAAATTTATTCAGTGGTAGTGGCTTACTGTGACTTGGAAAAAAAAGTTGGCATTGAGGGGAGCTACATGCTATGGCCACTAACATATATCTTATTCAGATACAGTGGTAACCTCTTTTCAGACAAATAACTTTTGTTTCAAAATATAGCCTGCTTTAACACAACCCTGTTGGGCCAAATTCTCATCCCCTCATGATTGTAAAAATGTACCCTGTCTGATCTCTAGTTTGGTCAAGTTTTCCATGAGGCATGGTATAAAATGTATTGCTTTAATTCAGATAAATAGAGATCAAATCACTTTGGTTATTTTTTCCTTCAAGATCCATTCTAAAACCTTAACTACTACTGAAGTCAAGTCTATAATTACCTCTGTTAACAGGCCAGTGTAAAGTTCTCTCACTGATCCAGCCAACCGAGTGGTGATCAAGTCTATTCATTTTTAAAAAGTCTGTTGCCCAAATTACATTATGAATGACTTGATGAAAAATGTTTTGCTTTTGAAAGCTTGTCGAACTCTATTCCATTTACATAGTTGGTCCAATAAAAGGTATCACCTTAAGAAATCCTTGCCTCATAATTTCTGGACCATCATAGCTACAACATCACTTTTACATTACTGTACGAGTGAAAGAACAAACGAACTGGAGCTATTCAAAATTAATTTAAACATAGCATGTGAAAGAGATGAACATTAAATATGTATTCACTTTATTCTTACTATTAATTCAAAAAGTCTGGCAACATGAGTTTTTCAAAAGGTTTTTTTTCTTAGGATTATTAACTAGATTTTTGGGATATCATTTTGACCAAGGAAATTATTTTAATGTGGGCATTATTCAGTCTCGTTGGAGGGAGCTGAGGAACCTGGACAAATTATTAGTAACTTCAGGGTTTTCACTTCCTTATTAGGTTTTCAAGGCACCAAGGTACAATACATTACACACATGAGTAATCAGGGATCAGATTTAATTTCAAGTAGAAATTCAGTTAAATCCCACACCTCAATTTACTCCTTGTTTTTTTTCTTCAGGCCTGATCCAAAGCTTGCTGAAATTGGAAAGACTGGACTCCTATTAAGGTCAGCAGGCTTTGGATCTGATTTAGCATGAATTCCAATTTTCTTGAGGTTTCTGCATTGAGCAGGAAATTGTCTCATATTTTTTACTTTAAGGCAGCATTTCTTTGAACGTGTCGGGGCGGAAAGCCTTTTGAACACTATTGAATACAATTGTTCTTCCCCTGCAACACAGTGGACAAAAAGAGATAAGAGTCCCTTCTATTTCTCCTCTATTTGTCTCCAGTTTTAGAACATGAGGCTGGGTTAACTCAGAATGTAATGCCACTCACCAGTCACATCAGTGGTTAATTTGTCTCCTGGTCTGAAACCCCCTAACTTACTATTAAACCTTTGTTGCTTTCCTTTAGGACAGAGATACAGATCAGACTGCAATCTGGAAGCATTTCAAGACCTGGAGAGAATTTGATTTTAGCATTACAGTGATAGGTCTCCCACCTCTAATTTTATATAGCACACAACTTTTTTTTTTTTTTGGTAAAGTTGTTTCTGCTGTTTGCTACCATGACAATAAAGCACCCTTTGTTTTCTTCACAGTCCTTGTTTTGTGTGTGTCTTTCTTACTTAAGTTATTATCATGAGCAGTTCTTTGCACACAGTGAAGTGTGGAGCCTACACTTCACACACAGTGAGTGTGAGGAACCCCAGGAGGTTTGTATAGCATATGATGAGGCCCCCAGCTGCGCAGAAGTTGAACAGCCCTTGTTTAAGGAGGGATAAGATGAGAAAAACAGGAACCTGGCAGGGGTGGGGAGGGAAACCCTATGAAGCAACAAGGCACTTTTAGTATCACAAAGCCTCATTTCTGAACCTACAGACTGACCATTGTGTGGATGCTAAGCAATTAATGAATGAGCATTTGGGCCAGATATACAAATGGTATTCAGCATCTAGCCATTCATTGATTTCCACAGAACCACTTGCTGTCGAAGTTATGACTCATACATGGAAGTTGTGTGCCTAAATACCACTGTAGTTCTGGTCCTTTATGACCTCCCACCAAGATTCCTTTCCCATTGGAAAGTTTCATTACTGCTTCTTTTTAGTGTTTAATCAATAACAACACCAGAGGGGAAGACATAAGTTACTAAACCAGGCCTCTGTGTAAGTTTCAATTCTTGCATGAAGTGCATCTACAAAAAACAGTACAATTCAATACTAATATCTCTGAAACAAAAAAATGCCTAACTTGGTTTTCCTAGTCAGGATCTTGTCTTATTTTCTTTATGTACTAACAGTTGCCTGCTAATGTTGCATAACCGCCTATTTTATGCCACAAAACTGGAGAAAAGAAAACATATGCATAGATCATCTCTGGCCTCCCTTCCACTTTTCTAGGAAATGCAACTATAAATTATTAACTATTTAAAATAAAGATCAACACTTTCTTAGATCCAAAGTATACAAGCAAAGCAGCTTTCTCTTAAGAAACCTGACTCTCTCAAACAAGACCTATGTTAAATTATAGTCTGCCTTTCTTCTGATTTCCTAGTGAGAGGTGCAAAGTTTCATGGTAGAAGTCAAAGATTTCTCAAGTCTCTCCCCTTCCTAACTATAATCCCAGGATGTAGCCATCATCACTGCAACAGAATTCTTCTGGGAATTTGGAATTTTAGAATCTTACAGTTAAATCCAGTCCTTAAATGTGAGAGTGCACCACATGCCTGGAAGTGATGGACCTCAAATGTATATGCCATGTCAAAATTTGTCCCATATAGTCTACAAATTCATTCTTCAGCTTTTTGGTTGGCAAAATAGTGACAGGAGAAAAACCTGGTTTGCTAAGTGAAAATTCAGAAAGTTATATAGAACAGGCTGTGATCTGAACCTGTTTGCTAAGAGTACTTCAGCTGGCTAGAATCTTCTTAGTATCCTTTTTGAAAATTGTACACTTTTCTGCTGCCTTATTCCTTTCTGTTCATTTACTGTGCCACATAAAGCTTGTTAAGTTAACACTAGACAAAAAAGAAGTAAGAGACGAAACTAGGGGCTAAGAAAGTTTGAGACAGTGTGGTACTCTGGGGCCCATGACAAAGGAGATCCTATGAAGGAAGTTTCGGGAAGGGTACACTTGAAGAAAAAAGGGTTAGGTTGATTTTTATGATTGTATTGGTGTTGCTAACTGTTTCACCACAGGTAAAGCCCAGAAAGGTTAAAAGGTTGTTATAAATACAGTGTATGTAGATTTGGTTCAAAGTAAAATGGTGACTCATCTAGTTTTCACTACCCGAAGCAGCTGTTTTCACAGAAGGGAGTTGCTAGGTTAAACATTCAGATGTCAGCTAATTAAAGGTTAAGAAATCAAATCCATGAATTACTGAAATGTACCATGCCATGCATATGTGCAATATTCTAAGAAATTTAATCTTCCAGCACGTTGCATACCACAAAGCTGCTTTACTAACCAGCCAATGCTTGATGGCATTCCTAGTGGCATAGAGACCCTGAGGCTAATTTAAACTACACTGTTGACAAGGCCAATGTAGAACTGTCCTGCAAGCTGCAGTGGCTCTGTTGCATTCTCTTTCCCCAGCTGCACCTAGGAAAAAAGTCAAGATCAAGCAACATAAAAAAGATTAATTAATTGGAGGAAAGGGGTGCATCTACATGTGCATTTTACTGTGGAGTTGACTAATTAGCTCTGCAGTACAGCATCACCTTCTACACATGTGCCAGTATTAGGGCGTAGTACATTAATTAACTCTACCATAAGACAGCACTGTTGGGGACAGTACTATCTTACAGTGGAGTCATTAACTGTGCAGAAACACATGTATGGACAGTGACTGGGACCACATCAATCTGAACTGAGGTGGAGCAGCCTCAGGCTGGCAGCAGGCTCAGGGAGTCAGCCACACAGATCCACAATTTTGGCACTCTCGTGTCCCAGCCAGCCCCTCCACCACCTGCCACTGCCACTCAGAGGCCAAGGCTGACCCCCTGAGCCTACTTTCCATCAAGGCCCCAGCTCAAACTGCTGTAGTCCTGGGTGCACGTGAAGACATACTGTGGGAGCAGTTGACTCCCGTGAGAATTATGATTGAGTTTATTGAGCTGCATTAATAGCTCATGGAGATGCACCCAGGATAACTAAAAATAAGGGACTCTGAGCAAAGTCAATATTTATATAAAACCACAACAAATCATGTGAGTTCACTGCTACTTCTTACTAACAATAAGTACAGTATTCGAACTATTTGGTTCCTTCAATTGTGAATCATGGATCAGGCTTCTGTTGCACTAGGCCACATACAAAAACAGACCAAAATGACAGCTCCTCCTTTGGAGGGCTTACAATCTAAGCTTAAAACAAAAGGCAGCAGAGAGCTTGACAGACAGACAACCAAGAAACAGTGAGACATAACTGACCAACGTTATCTTGAACAGAACAAGGAATAATGGTCTCAAGTTGCAGCTAGGGGAGTTTAGGTTAGATGTTAGGATGACTTTTCTCCCCAGGAGGGTAGTAAAACACTGGAAAAGGTTACCCAGACAGGTGGTGGAATCTCCATCCTTGAAGGTTTTAAAGACCTGGCTAGACAAAGCCTTTGCAGGGATGATCTAGTTGAGGCTGGTCCTGCTTTGAGCAGGGGGTTGGACTAGATGACCTCCTGAGGTCCCTTCCAACTCTAATATTCTATGATGTGTTAGACAGTGTCAGCATAGCTAGAGTAACCATCCATCCCGATTTGGCTGTGTCAGTCCTGGACTTCCGAGGCCAGTCCCAGCCAGTTGGTGAAAATTAAAGCAGTATCCCAGGTGCAGGGCACCGAGTGGGGAGGCAGAGCAGCATGATCTGTGAAATAAGAAGCCCTTGCAGACAGCAAAATTGCCCTAAAATAGGTCAGCTTGATTAGTGGAATGACCCTTAAAAAGAGGTTATTGTTAACACCTATTAACAATGGGTCAATAATGGGCCTTAGCTGACTGAATAGTAATACCAGAGCTGCACCATGCCACCCTACCCCCACCTCTGCCTGCAGCAGTGCTACTAACTTCAGGGGGTGGGGGGCAGTGTCCTGGATTTCACATTGTCCCATATGGTCACCCTAAGCATAGCACACAGCATAGCAATGCTATATTCATAAATGTTGTCTGTAGGCACTGCAGCAAAAATCCTTTTTAAGGATGATTTCAAATAAGTTTAACAAGGCAGCTCTGCAAATGTTTACAGAGGCCTTCTTACGAAGAACTCATGTGGGGGTATGTTTAAAAAACAGGGCTGAATCCAGTATGTTGAAAATAATGGAGCTCTGATGATTTACCCTGAATTAAGGAATTGGCCTTTCTGTTTTTACTCTCAGTTGTGTGCCATATCACAAAGATTTTCAGCTTATGCTGCAAAAACATCTGACCTTTGACTCAGCACTGTAAATTGAATTGGCCTTTACCTACCTCACTTCTGAGCCAGACTAAATCTCTTCTGATTTACAACCCTGTTTACAGTGCAAACCTAACTCAAGTCTTACCTGCTGAGTTAGCAGTTCTCATAGTGATTCAAACACCAGGCAAGTCAAGGTATGGAAGGTTTATTTAATGATATTTCCTATACCTAGAGGGAATGAAAGAAAACAAATTTCCAAGTATAAAGTATTGCATCCTGGTTTGTCATTACTGTCAGGGAATAAAATTTCGCAAGTGAACACAGCACATCTAAATGAGGCACTTGTGGCTAACTGCCAAATATTTAATGTAGTATATACCTTTTATTACAATTGGGCAAGCCATTGTTCAAATGCTATAATCTGTACTTCAGCTAAAACAATGTGCCTGACAAGCGTGGTAGAAAATGGGGCAAACACTAATTATCATCATCTTTAATTTCAATGAGATCTGACAGTACTTTTTTCTGTAATTCTGCCGATGTCTAGTTCTTATAAGAATAGACATTTAAAATTTTTGCATTGATGTGAGTAATTTAACTTTCTGGGTTTGCCTCAGATATATGCACCACTGAAAGGAGACGAGCAAAATGAAAATTCTTATTTCCATGCAAGAAGTTTAAGTTGCATAGTCTTCCTTATGTTCTGTTCAACCTCCAAGACCCAAAATCCATTGCAAGGAGATTGCTGTTCTAGGACATCTTCTCCTGTACATATATCAACTGGGAGCAGGATTAGTTTTGCAGCAGGTAGTGGGGAGGGAATTTGGTAATATTCTTTCAAGATCTACCCATGTGAATGTCAATATGAGGCATTTCTTACAGATGCTTAAAATTTGATTGTGCATACTCTGAGACCTAGCTTGTTATTTGAGCCTGGTTCCTCAGTGAAGTTGACTTTAAATTTGACATCAATAGTCATGACAGGGAACACCTCACTTAAATGATTGTCGCCGTTCCGAGCTACTGTTCTGAAATCCTTGTAGATCCATGTCTGTTGCTCACATCCACTTCACATTTTGAGGTTTTTCTTAATATCTATGGTAGGTAATAATTTCATTTTTATAAAATGTTCTAAGGTTCTGGAAAACAAAATGACCCCTCAAAAGGCACACCGGTACCTCCATGCATCAGTCTCACCTAAGGCCCGAC